TTCCCAGGAAACGAAGAATCTCATTAGGAAGCGTCAAATCATGAAAGTCTCAAGTACAACAGACAAAATAGAACTGGCAGAGCTTTCGAAGTTGATTATTAGGCGTAAGGTATCCGATGTAAGAAGGTATAACATGGAGAGAATGGAATACGCTCTGAAAAGCGGAGGGAACGTCAAAGCAGTGAAGAGGAAACTTGGGATAGGCAAAAATCGGATGTATGCACTAAGGGACAAAGAAGGCAAAATAACTACCAATATGGATAGGATAGTTGAAATAGTGGAGGAGTTTTACAGAAGATCTGTACAGTAGCCGGGGCAACCACGACTTTAATACTATAGGAACTAGCAGTAACCCAGATGACACTCCACCAGTAATGATACAAGAAGTCAGAAAAGCTTTGGAGAGCATGCAAAGAGGCAAAGCTGCTGGTGAGGATCAGGTAAGATCAGATCTGCTGAAAGATGGAGGAGAGATTGTGCTAGAAAAACTAGCCACCCTGTTTACGAGGTGTCTCCTGACGGGAAGAGTACCAGAGTCTTGGAAGAACGCTAACATCATCTTAATACATAAGAAAGGAGATGAAAAGGACTTGAAGAATTACAGGTCGATTAGCTTGCTCTCTGTAGTATACAAGCTAGTTACAAAGGTAATCGCTAACAGAGTAAAGAAAACATTAGAATTGAATCAACCAAAGGAAAAAGCAGGATTTCTAGCAGGCTACTCCACAATCGACCACATTCATACTATCATTCAGGTAATAGAGAAATGCTCAGAATATAACCAACCGCTATACATAGCCTTCATAGATTACGAGAAGGCGTTTGATTCAGTAGAAATATCAGCCGTCATGCAGACACTGCGGTATCAGGGCGTCGATGAAGTATATATAAGCATCCTGGAAGAAATCTACAGGGGATCAACTGCTACCATAGTGCTTCATAAAGAAAGCAACCGAATACCAATCAAGAAGGGTGTAAGTCAAGGGGACACTATCTCCCCAATGCTATTTACCAGCGTGCTTACAGGAGGTTTTCAGAAGCCTAGAATGGGAACAGTTAGAGATAAGAGTTAATGGAGAGTACCCTAGTAACCTGTGCTTCGCCAATGACATTGCATTGCTGAGTAACTCAGGGGACGAATTGAAACTTATGGTTACGGAGTTAGACAAGGAGAGCAGAAAGGTGGGTCTTAAAATGAATCTGCAGAAAACGAAAGTATTGTACAACAACCTTGGAAAAGAGCAGTGCTTCGAGATAGGTAATAGTGCACTTCAAGTTGTAAAAGACTAAGTCTACTTAGGGCAGGTAATAACCGCGGAGACGAGCCACGAGATTGAAGTAACTTGAAGAATAAGAATGGGGTGGAGCACATTTGGCAAGCACTCTCAAATTATGACAGGTAGATTGCCACTATCCCTCAAGAGGAAGGTATATAATAGCTGTATCTTGCCGGTACTTAGCTACGGAGCAGAAACCTGGAAACTTACAAAGAGGGTTCAGCTTAAATTGAGGACGACGCAGCTGGCAATGAAAGAAAAATGGTAGGTGTGACCTTAAGAGACAAAAAGAGAGCAGAGTGGATTAGGAAACAAACGGGGGTGAATGATATCATACCTGAAATCAAGAAGAAGAAATGGACATGGGCCGGGCATGTAGCGCGTAGACAGGATAACCGCTGGTCGTTAAGGGTAACTAACTGGATTCCCAGAGAAGGCAAGCGGGTTAGGGGGAGACAGAAGGTTAGGTGGGCCGATGAGATTAAGAAGTTTGTGGGTATAAATTGGCAGCAGCAAGCACAAGGCCGGGTTAACTGGCGGAACATGGGAGAGGCCTTTGTGCTACAGTGGACGTAGTCAGGCTGATGATGTTGATGATGATGATGATGATGATGATATCCAGTGCTCATACTCGCGTCAGTACCCTAAACTGTTAGTTCAAACAGCTACACATATAGACATAATTTTGCTTCGAAAAAATTTATCTATGATGCCAGAAGACATCACGGAAGGCAGAGAAGGAAATAAAGTTAAGGCAAAAGATAAAACAGTACAAACTAGAAGAAAAGATCGAAGAATTAACAGGCATGGTGAGCACTGACTAACAACTGTTAACGCGCTTTTTGCCTTTTACTATGTTTCGTTTACTAGCCCAACGAAACACACTTTGGGAAATGTAATCATATGTATACGTGAACAAAGTGATATTTAAGTTCAATATAGAGACAGCTAAATTACTATCATGAAAACCAATGGTTGATGCTAAGAACTCAGCACATATCACGTACCAACACCTGAAGAACCCCATCAAACGTTAACAAAATAGTTTGATTAGCATTACTGTAAATGAAGCAAAAGATAGAACAATTATCGTTTGCTATTTTAGTTGGTACGTGTATTATTGGAACATTCCATTGGATTATATAAAACTCTGTAAGAATATTATAATAATGCTATCATTGTATAAGTGAACCGTGCCTTATGAGTCTATGGGAAATAATTTATTCTGCCATTGGCCCAGTAAAGGTAACACAAATCTGGCCAAGCTTCTTGATATATTTATCAAACTTGTGACATCACATTTTAGAATATCTTCGATTAATTAGGCTATACTAAAGATACCGCACAAGCCCACGCCTTCAAGTTAGCAAGCCCGTTGGTTGTTTCCGACATTGCTGCTGAAAAGACAGTATGTACAATTCTTTTCATGCGAAGTTTGAAAGCATCTTATTGTGAGAGAATATGAATAGCATGGATGGAATTTATTCAGCATTTACTCTGCTCTTATACAGCACCCATATTACGGCGATTTTTTGTTATTTTATTTGTTTTTCGGTGCTTTTTGTTTTACTTTTTAGCTTTTCTGTCTGCGTAGACGTTGAGCCGCCACATGCCACCTCTCACCTTTGGAGTAGTTCTTCGTCATCGTTTCCGCATCATTTTAATCCATGGTAGAAAGGGACCGCACGGTCTGATTGATTGATTGATATGTGGGGTTTATTGTCCCAAAACCACCATATGATTATGAGAGACGCCGTAGTGGAGGGCTCCGGAAATTTCGACCACCTGGGGTTCTTTAACGTGTACCCAAATCTGAGCACAGGGGCCTACAACATTTCCGCCTCCATCGGAAATGCAGCCGCCGCAGCCAGGATTCGAACCTGCGCCCTGCGGGTCAGCAGCCGAGTACCTTAGCCACTAGACCACCACGGCGGGGCGGACCGCACGGTTTGGCAAACGGGCTTTTTCTTTATCGTCATCGCCGCACAACGGACGAGCCTAGAACCTAAAGCGTTTCGCCCTTAAAAACCTTGGTGGATATCACCTAATATGAGCAGCACATGCATGAAAGAAAGCGAACATGCCAATAGGAGATGTAAACATAGATCATAGGGGTCAGTTTTGCCTTTACAAAGTGTTGGGGAAAATAAACAACTGTTCTCAATGCGATTCCCTCGCTATGCGTGACCACCGCCGTAAGCTTGAGTGTATCCGTCCGTTCCATTGCGGGCTAACTTCTTTTCCCTAAATTTACAACAGCAGTATGTGGCCATCATGAATTTGCGTCGCTGGGCATTTCAAGTTGTCGGAAAAAATAGAAAGACTTCTTTGACGCTACCGGTAGTACAAGCCCAAACGCCAAACTCACAGATTATTCGTTACGTGACCCAAGGATAAGTAACAAGTCAGTTCCTGGACATGCTTGTCGAAGCCAAAATATCGCAGATACTATATTGTCAGACAACTCGAACACTGAGTTACTAGAGCACGTATCCTGGCCAAATAATAAAGAACAATAAATATGCTTTCTCCCAGTATACGGGAGTTCTACAGGTTGTGGAAATTAAGCCCATCGTGTGGTTGGCGCGGCACGTGCTGCGCACCAGCGATGCACGTGCCCCACTCACGGGCTTTGAAAGCAGTAGCTTGACGCCACTCGTGCAGTCGGTGACGAAAAGCTGAGTGCGCGGGAGGGGTGTGTTCCTCCGAGGCTAAGGTTAGGGGTGAGTTCAAGTGCCTGTGAGAATTATGCCGTTTTTTATATTATAATATATAGTATAATCGCTTATTTTTGAGTTATAAGCGGCCAGCACCTTTTCCTTCGCCGCGTAATAGCGGAAAATATTTAAGGCACTTATGCACTAAACGTTTTTATTTTGTGCAGGTGCCTCCAATAGATTCACTACCTCGAATGATGATAAGTATTGCTCCTAAAATGAGGTCGCGTTCCTTAGATGCAAACATGTATGCTTTACTTAACAAGAATGTCGGAACGAGAAGAAACATTGCTAAATTTAGTTTTCTCTACGGAAGTCTAATATATGTGTTAGTAATAGAGCATTCTTATAAAGTGATCTCAATGCTTGATTTCTCGGATGGTCTACCGCTTTTATTGTTTTTACTTAAGCAACTTAACAGAAAATGAGAGCTGAAAATGTCCACCTTGTCCATTCAGAAATGATATCTTATACCCAGTTTGCAGAGTTTGCATTTTAACTGTGAGTTTATAAGAAACTCGTTTCTTTTGTGCTATGCGATAACGACTCAGCCATCAATAAACAAATAATAGTCATGATTATTCACCAAACAGTGCTTCCGTAAGCCAGGAACTGAGACATCGCAGGACAAGAGAAGCTGTAAAGACGCGTCTAGGGTCGGCTTGTGGAACACTGTGGGTCAATGCAGTCTGTTAATTAAAGAATATATCTAGCAGCTGAATTTCTCTTTCTGGACTTTTGCAATCTATCGCTTGATCGCAAGCCTCGCTTCGGCATCATCGCTGGTGACGGCACTCGATGAACGGCCTAGATCAGACGCCAAAAAAAAAAAACACACAGGGACCGGGAAAGGAGAGGCACAGATATCGCACGAGAAATCTCGCTACCGAAGCCCGTTTATCGTTTCGGCCAAGCGAGAGTTCTCCTTCTCGGCAGGTTCGTCCTTCTCTCCGCGGGGCTGCCGAGTAATTAAATGCACGTGCCGCTGCGTCTAAGAATCAATACGTTGCGGCGCGAAGTGGTGCTAAGCCATCACCCCATGACTGCGCTAGATAGCTACAAGTAGTTCCAGAAAAGTGTGGGAAGGTGACTGACAGCGAGCACTGACAAACCATGACAGCAAGTATGGGTTCCTCGTGGACTTCATCCTTAATTTCTGCCCTGGCGGATGAGCTTATTCTTGACCGTGATCCACGCACCGCCGACTGGGTTCTGCCTGGAAACAGAGCTTTTCTTTTATCGCTGTTCATGGCCTACGTGTATGTGGTTAAAGTACGAGGGCCGCACTTCATGAAGGACCGGAAACCGTTTGATGGCATCAAGCCGGTAGTCATCGTCTACAACGCCTGCATGGTGGTTTTGAACGCCTATTTTATGAGTGCCTTTCTCTCGAGAACCTACATGAGTGGCGGCTACAGCTTGTTCTGTCAGGGTATCGACTACGAGGCACGTGACGAGATAACCATGAGCCTTCTCAACTTGTGCTGGTGGTACATGTTGGTGAGGATTGCTGACTTCTTGGACACGCTGTTTTTTGTACTGCGGAAAAAGGACTCTCACGTATCATTCTTGGACGTGGCCCACCACATCCTCGTTGTGTTCAACGGCTGCTACGGCCTCGGCTACGGTCCGGACGGCCAAGCTGCACTTACCCTCATACTCAACTGCTTCGTGCACATCATCATGTACACCTACTACTTTCTTTCCCTGTTGGGACCCGCTGTGCAAAGAACCTCTGGTGGAAGCGGTACCTGACCCAGGTGCAGCTTGTTCAGTTCTGCATCATTTTTGTTCACATGCTGTTGCCGATGTTCTACAACTGCGGTTACCCGAGGCCGCACATCTACATCATGCTGTGCGAGGCAGTGTTCTTCTTCACTATGTTCATGCGTTTTTACTTCAAGGCCTACCGGGAGAGGAACAGCAGACCAGCCGAGAAGAGCGATAGCGGCAAGAACAAGGTTCACTGAATATGCTACCTTAGTTGACTACGCGACGAGTGCTGGAACTATAGCAGTATCACGGTCGCTACTCTATAGTCGATGCGCACCCATTTAGACAGCGAAGGAGGCTGGAAAGCACAAATGAATAGGTTTTTTCAGCAGAATTTTCCCTCAACATCACGTCTATTAGATCGCTCGTTGCGGCGAAAGTGGAATGATAGGAAGAAAGTACCTGTGATGTGGACAAGGTCATGGGATATCTGACGGACACTGATATGTTTCGCACTAAACCAGGTTGGGATTGAAAACGAAGGCTTTATTTCACTGTGTAATTACATGAGGACAACTTCATCGTCTATGCTTCAATAGCACGATGCATTTCAAGTACTGGTCTGTCCGAAACGGAATCAAACATTTTGCAATGAGAGGGCTGGCTACGAATAGGGACCTGTATGCAACGTGTTTTAAAGGAACACTAACACAAATATTCGAAAGGGAGATAATGAGGGATATAGATTTATGTGCAGAACTCCTGACGAATGGCAATATATCAAGAAAATATATACCCTAGAACACATGCATCATAAATGTTTGTGTGCAAGCTGCGTGACTGAATGAGATGTGCAGCACGCTGCGACGCCTATATCAGTCGTTTGGCAATGAAAACAGAATAAGCCACGTGTTTGTGTCGGCTGGTTGCCGGCACGTGCCTTGTGCTTCCACTGCCTGCTATTTCTTCTTCTGTGGCTGCGCATTTGCGTGTGCTGAAGTGCGGCACCCGGTCGAGCATGCTCTCCTACGTGGCCCTTACGTCACAGTTTGACGTGGTGACGTGGCCAGCGGTGTTTACCTTGCCACCAGAACTGCTCCGGCATAGCTTCACTGCCCTTCGAAATTGAAACTTCGACTGGACTCTCTTAAAGCATTTATAGGCTCAAAACCATTGCGCACTCGCACGAACGAGGTTTCCAGCCGTGATGAGTTCGTTATAAGCTACCGATGGCAAAAAAAGTTGTGACACTTTTATGCTAGTGTTCTTTCATACATTATTCTTTCAACATTAACCGAGGCCAGCCCACTTTGTTTTTGGCTGTGGTCTCTTACCAGAGAAGATTAGGGCAGGTGGAACGCACCATAAAATAAAGAATCAGAATTTTATTACAAAATGTACCTTCAGCTGTGAAGATCAGGCGATAAAACTGCCAGACAGCTTCTGATGACGTCATTATCAAATCCTAGAAACTATGGGGTTTTTGAGTGATCTTATGCGACTCGTGATCACTGCTTCAACATCATGCAGGCCTTAAGCACACAGAACATGTTGGCTAGTGATTTTACGGGGAATTGAGTGAGTAGTGTTGCAAACCAACAATAATTCACGCGCACGACATTGTCGACAACGCCTGCGATCATGCGAAAGTCACAGATAACATTTTATTTTGTTTGCCGCCTGTTTGCGCTTACCTGCCATTAACGACAATAAAACATTTTTGTCTTGTTGCCAGTACATGCTCGATCTGTCTTGCTTTCGTATTGCATGCTTGATAAGATAAATTTGTAAGGGCTCATCGAATGATAGACCCAAATATTCACTCTTCCATGCATGACGCGAAAATACACAGCCGGAAAAGTCTTCTGGCATATATGAATTTCGGTATCATCTCACTTGCGTCCTTCACATTAAGTATGTGCGAAGTACAGCGCACTTTAATGCAATGGCGTTAAAGAGCTCGTTTTGCAGAAATTCTGGCATCGGTTTCGGCACGGGCGTCTCTGGTTGTTTGCGAATTACTATCATGTTGACCGGGAGGAAAAAGTCGAGAAAAAAGAAAATCGAGTCAATAATAAATGTTTCCGCGTTCGAGGGAGCATCGAACTCTGACTGTCAGCGTGAAAAGCAGCTGTTCTATAATAGAACCACCGTATTTCGAAGCTGCTTTGTTAAAAAAACACAGATAATATATGAATCTCATATAGCGAAAGAAGACTTCTTAGCGCGGCATATATTGCGTGTCAGAGGTGTAGAATCGCGCCTGATGTCAAGATATGTGTATTATTTTGTTTATTTTTTCCATCATGCTGTGGGGCGAAGTAGCCGGTCAAAAGCAGGAAGGGCACACATACATGCCAACATTAACATGGACAGTCGTATCGAGAATTTACACATTCAAAGAGCTTCTTACCAACAATCGAACGTACCAGTAGTAATACAATGACGAGTTCAGGGCTTAAATCACAAGCACTAAACAAAGTGTAAACTAATAATAATAATAATAATAATAATAATAATAATAATAATAATAATAATAATAATAATAATAATAATAATAATAAATAATATAGCAATGAAACATTCGGCAAGGTAGACACCAAAAACGCACTAGTATCAAAGATTCATGAGCAAATATTTTCTAGACAGTGCATACAAATCAGGTGAGTTGACCGAAAAAGTCTGGCAGAATGTTCAATCCTGGTATGAACCTCGAAAAGAGGCTACCACTGAAAGTAACTGTACGAGCAAATGTGGGCTTCAAAGCATGTGCCGATGTGTCACGTGCTTTTTCTGATGTCAGCTGCCTAAGAAAAGACGGTGGCGTTGTATGGTGACTATTTCGCACAATAACTGGGGGATCCTTAGGACTCCACCTCTATTAATTGAACGCGATAGCGATATCGCGTCCGCAGTTCAAAATGGCTTGTGTCAGGTGACAATTTCGCATACGACTGCATTCTGTTATTGGTAGAATGCTTTAAAGCAAGGCAAACTGTGCGCGTGAAATCTTTCCAGAAAAACTAAGCACCCACTACGTGGCTTTAAGAGAAAAGGCACAGTAACATGTGCGCCTTTTCTCGTCAGTGGCCCTCTTTAAACCATCGATTGAGATAATCGCATGTTTCGACGCCCGATCACATTGTACGCTTGTACCACTTGTTATTACTGCGAAATTTCATGTTGAATTCGGAAGCTTTTATGCAGGATGCGCGTGTTTGAAAAGCGTGCAAGTTATTTTCACCGAAATTCCAAGCGAACACGTAGCTCTGTAGTAGAACACTTGCTTGCCGCGCAAATCTCTAAAGTTGGATCCTCACTCAGACCCAGAGTTTTTATTTATTTTACTTGCATATTTCTCAATATTTCAGTCACGCACGATAAGTTCACTTTTCGCTCACAGCCTACGATGCTGACGCCGATGCCAACACTATAATTTCTGCGAGACAATCTCTTACGCCATCGCGTAAGCAGAAAAGATTAACAGGCTATCTTTCTGAGCATTCACAGAAGGGTCTTCTGTTTATATACTGCATTAGTTTCGAGGTAGCGTCGTATCTCGTATACTTTACGAAAACGAAACAAACCGCCTTCATTTGAATGCTTTTCAGATAATGAATGTTTCTGTGTTTTTTGTATGTGGGTCCCAAAGCGTGCAAGAGTATTCCAGCGTTGTCATCATGAATGTGAATGCGCTAATATAGCTTCATATTATGAGGCGTGACGTCTAAGAAAGTGTAGTTTACGAAAAGCGGGGGGGGGGGGGGGAGAGTCTAATATCAGTTGTATTAGCCGTGCACCTTATATGATTGGTCAGTGTAAAGTCTAAATACCGACAATGCGTAACCCGCGAAATCATCGACTGATTAAGGCTGTGCTGGAATATGCTCTGTTGCTGTTTTCTAGGGAACCGTAGGAGCAGTGACTTTTAAGCATTTCATTGCATTTGAGAGTCTTTACAACGCTTAACTACTCTTAAAAGTGATTCCTGGAAAATTTCTTTATTCCTGGATGAATTTATTTTTTTGAATATGTTGTATTCATTTGCGAATAATTTTAGGCTAATTGATTCTGGTAGCGTTTCTGCAATGTAATTCATGAAAAAAAGAAACAGCTACGAACCGTGGACACTGCTTTGGAGTACTCCAGACAGCACTGCGAAGTTAGGTAATAAACAGTAATTTTCTCAAGAAACTTGTGATCTTCTTGTCAGATATGCAGTATTCCAGTTAATGATACTGATGAACCATATGAAACTTGGTTTGCAAATGAACTTTGCACGTGGAAACTGCTATGACTGACAGAAATCTAGTAGGAGCACATCTACCTACCCGGATCTGTCTAATGCTGCTGGAAACTCATTGGCTGTAGTCATGAGTTCAGTAAGAGTCGAGATTGCTCGCATAAAATGTTCTTGTTGAGGGCAAATGTTATTCATAGTTAAAAATTTGGCAGATTGCGCGTTCTTTGAGAATCAATGGTATGCAAAGCATGCGCATGGAAAGTGATTGTGTTACCCTAGATAAAGGGGTGATAACAAGATCACCCAGACTTATAGGCGTACAGATAGATATATAGAAAGATAGCTAGACAGATAGATAGATAGACAGATAGATAGAAAGACAGACAGACAGATAAACAGACGGATGCCAAAAGTGCTTGCAGCACGCGAAGAAATGATTCGCATTTAAGAAGCTTCTCTGTGTGTCTTTTCCAGCGATCACAATCACCTCGCTCCTTTCACGCTTGCGATGTAAATAATCGAATAAGGAAAATGCGGTCAAGGTTGGCCAACGTGAACATCGCCCGCATATACGGCTGCCAGCACCAGGCCACTATGAATCATTCAGTTGATGACGCCACTGTTATTTCTGGGTGCCTCTTTTCAATGGCCTTCTTGTGAGGCTTGCGTAGTGGGACCGTCTCGGGGGTAACAACCTTTGCAGGTGAATATCAGCAAGTTTAAATGTGGAAGAAGTCTAAACAAAGCTCTAATAATGTCTCGCTTAGTTGGCCATGAAATTGTGAGAGCATGTTGCCTGTTACCTTTATATTCACGTATTTGCTGTAATTTTCTTTACCAACGTAGAATATTTATTGACGGTAATCTGTGCGCCGGCATGGTCTTCGCTAAAGGTGAACAATTGCTTGCCTTCTAAGATTGCCTTATTCAAAGCAATTTTAAGTGGCCATGAAAGCAATCGTCTGCTCACGCATGCACGGGGCGATTATGCAAGTTTGATTCACCTGACAAACTGAGAGACAGTGATAAGTGAAGTGCTCAGTTCGTGAAGCGAAGCGTGAACGGATAAGTGGAGTGGCTTAGTCGTGTTTTCAAGGACGCGCTTCAGAGACCATCGAAGAAGATTACTCAGTGGAATTAGGGCCCCCAGTTTGCAAGACCGAAGCTGAAGAAGATAGAGGAGACCGACGCCGAGGGAGGCGCTGCGGAGCGTGGCGCTGTCAGTCAATGTGGGGAGAAAACTGGTTACTCGAGTGTTGGCCTCTCCGCTGTCCCATTCAACCTGCTTGAAAACGCGTTGCTTTGCTCGCACGCTGCACGCGTTCTGCACGTGTTTTTGAGAGTCTCGCGTTGCACGCGCGGTTATGATGTATGCGCTCTGTCCGCATTTAATAGGTTGCCGCAATTGAGGATTTCTTTTTTTCGTGGCAGCAATTTGGTAAAAGTGCAGCGAAGCAAGTTGTAGCAGACGACGTCGTCCTCGTCAGAGCGAAGTGCGTTTCGCAAGTGAAAGACGACGCTGTTTACGACGTTAGAGGTGAATAAAACTTTCTGTACGTTCGTAATTATATACCTGTTTTATTTGGTTTACTCTGTGTATTATGCACTATGTTTGTTCCTGGATGCATGGGTAAGGCCGCTTCTCATGCTTTAGGTTAAGCGGTTCTTGCACTGTGACTGCTATTAGTTGCGATACCTTAATTTACTAGCACCCACCCAAGTTATCGTGCGGTATATACACAGCACTTCAAAAATAAATGGTATATTTGGGGCTTCTTTCTGACCCACAACAATAATTGACATCTATCTCGCGTGTCTTTCCTTGCATTATCACCGTTCTCATCTCGGGTACTTTGAGTTCACGAACAGCGTGCGTACCATCATGATGAGCGCCCAGATTTCAGAGAAACTTTTTTGTGTGTGTCTAATCTGCAGGGGAAGAGCGCATTGCTATAAAAGCATTTTATCTTGGTCACGTATCGAAAATGCACCGTGTTGTTCGGGCTACCCCTGCACACTCAGTAACAACTAGTTCACTGTATCTGCCAACGGACGTGCAACAACGGCTAATGCATTTTTTTCTTTTTTTTCATAGTTGTCCAAGCTTTTGGCAACCACACACTTACGTCGGCGCTGCGTAGATTTAAAAATATATAACAACACATTACCAATACCACATGTGCACACAGATTAAACTACTAATTCCCCAACAATATCGAATAATAGTAAAAGCAAAAAATATTTCTTCGCTATTTTTTAGCAGTGCTCTAAAGACGGGCGTTGAAAATTTATATTTTTAAGATGGGGAAGTGCATCTCCCAGTAACTCAATAGATTAGACGAACGGTGACGCAGGAATTAACACCCGTAATTTTGAATGCATTGTGCGCGTGCTAATTTTTATGAAAAAAATTGTTTACATACTTTTTTCGGCGCACTGCTTTAATCCATTTCTGTCGTCTGCTTGTTTCGTACCATCGGTTTGGGAATCG